CAAATATATACTAATTGCGAGAAAAATGTGTAAGCTGTTGTATTCGCCATAGGACAAAGAGAGGCTACTCACTCGAATAGATTAGTGCAATTTGTTGGTTAATTCAAGCCTTCTTGTTTCACTCTTGGTGCCTTCGTTTGGTAACTAATATGTCTGTGTATATAATTTTGTTTTTAGATATGAGTACATATAGAATTTAAGATAGAGCCGAACAGTTTTCTTGAATTGGTGTTAATTTGAGGCTCTTGCAGGAATGAGTTCTGGCGCTGATGATGTCCATTGTATAATCTTTGTTGACCCGAAAGAGGGCGCATTTTCATGTTGCGCTTTTCAACGAAGCTGGTGTATCCCCGACAGGGATGACTTAAGGTTACGCAAGCAGGTGAGATGGTATATGTGTTCAACTTACAGCTTTGTCGAAGTCGCGAGTTGGGATTGGTTTAGAAATCTGAAGGGGATGGGAGAAAAGAAACGGTAAAAGAGAAAGTTAGCTTCATGGGAAGGTAAGTAGGCAAGTTATAATGAAGATAATGCCGATATATATATGTATATATGTATATGTATATAGATAGAATGCAGCCTCAAGTGTCCTGGTACAGCCAGGATGCTCGGACGGTGCACATTCATCCCTCGAGCGAGGCCAGAATTGCGTCAATCCTAGTGCTCTGACAGATGTGCATGTCTTTCCCATTACGTGGCGAAGGCAGTTGTGTTTTTTCACCATTCCGGCGTCGGAGCGAATGTAAGGACAGTTTGCATGTGCGCCATGAAGCCAGAGGGGGTCTGAGACGACATAATAAATTAGACGGCATGTGAACACTTTGTCCGGTCTCGTCTACAAGGCCTTGGCTACTGACCCCGTTGCTAGGGCCTGCCGACTCGTCTGGCTTCGTGGGCACGATAGACGAGGCTGGGCAAAAGGACGGACGTGCATGCAGCATCGGAATCAACGTTAACGTTTACGTTGACAGACGCCGGCCGGCCTGGCTGCTGGGATTTCAGTCGCTGGTCGAGGTCACTC